ATGTAAATATTTTAGGGATCTGTGTGGTGTCTCTGACGTGCTACCTTCGAATCCTTTATATTTCAAATAAATAATAATGAATAAAAATCATTTCATTTCAATTACAATAATTCGTTTTAGTGTAAAACATTCTGGATTTTGTTTTCCAAAAAGTGAATTTGTTATTCCTTTATATGAAATTGAATATTAAATACAAGACGATTTTGTTTCATCATTTTTTTATAAACATAAATATCACACCTCAGAATCTAAACAAACATTTATCTATTTGATTACCTGAATAAAATCCATCTTTTGGTTGTTTAATATCAAATTTCATCATTCCTTGTATTCTTCTTTTTGATTTTAATGAAAATAAAAATGATTTTGAATCATTTATCCAATTATTAACTTTATCAATTTTTACATTAACATATCCTCCAAATTTATTTCCATTTGTATCTTCAATAATAATTATATATGTTCTTTATTTATTATTCTTTTATCAAATACTGATGTATTAATATTCTAATTATCAATATTTGAATCAAATAATATATTTCCTATTCTTCTTTCTGTCCATTCTTCTATTTGTTGAATTTCTTCTTTTGTATTCATTCCTTTTATTCTTTGAAATCGATATTCTTCTTCTTTTATCTTCTTCCTCTCCAAATAATCATATATTGTGTAAACCATTCTTCTTTATTTTTATTAAATCTTATTTTAATATTGTTAATTTCTTCTTCTAATGGTTTAATTTTATCTTCTTTATTCATTTCTTCCATGTGAATGATTTTATCTATTAGTTCATTCTTTGCTTTATTAACTGTTTCTGATTCATCATTAAATTCTTCTATTATCTTCTTCATTTGATTCTTAATTATTTCTATTGTTTTAATTGTTTCTTGACTTTTTTCTATTACTATTCTTCTTCTAATTATTTCATCAATTCTATCAAATATTCCTTCTCCTCTTTTAATTGCTTGTTCATATGTTTCATTATCTTGTTTCTCAAATATTTCATTTTTAATACTTCCTAAATAATGTTGATATTGTTTATTAGTATCATCAATTGATTGATAAATATTTGGAAGTGTTTCTAATATTTCTTTAATTAATTGATTATTCATCACTGATTCCATTTTAATTTAATGAATATCAGATTAAAATAAGATGATTAAATAATTAAATACAAATTTTAACACTTCATTTTATTTATTATTTTATTATTCTTTAAATTTGAAGGTAGCACTTAGAGAAACCACAAAGACCATAAAATATTTCCATGCTTTGAACCTTCAGTTATAGTGTTGTTGTGACGTGCATTTGGTTAGAAAACATCTTACTCAATACTACAACAATACCAGTTATTATTATTTATGTTAATTGAATATCATTGACAATAAAAGAGTTGGTATTTGTAAAAGTGGTATTATTTATTTGTTATGATACAAGTATATTGATAATATGGGATTATCAAAGTAAAAGGATGTAATCTGGTTGTTGTGATTAACACTAAAATGAAAATTAATCATTATAATAAGTGACAACGATATATTCTCTTAAAATAAGAAAGTAAAGAAGATGGACTTTAATACTCATGAAAACCAGATAATAACTTAAATAATGATGTTTAATTCTGAGATATCTGAAATACTTTATTCTACATTAAATAAATGAGAAAAGGAAAATGTAACATTTCAAGAACTAAAAACAAAGAATAAGCTAATAAATATTGAATATTTTTAAAGTAAAGAGATTAGTTAATCTCCACTTGAGCAAGGAACAATAGAAAATAAAACTATTAACACTTAATTATCTCCTTTTTATTTTTATTTATTCTTTAAATTAAATCTCTTTTTTATTAAATTTAAATAACAACAAAATATCAAGAAATT